ACAAAGAAAGGCAAGCAGAGGGAAAGCTTGGCAGGAGGAAGTATGTCGCGTGTCGCGGAGCAATGTTGCAATGTGCCGTGTTGTGTCGCGAACCGTTTGCTGCTTGTCGTGGTTGCTACTCCTGTTGGGTTGTGCGATGCAATGCGCCGAGTGTTCAGGTTGTGTCGAGATGCGGTTACCACACGAGACCAGGTTCTAAGTGGTGCTGGGGAGAGTCGCGGGCGGTATGAACCTCCAACTAATACTGCCGTTCCTCTGCGGGTACTAGGGTGGCGCGGGAGCTTTCAATGGGGAAAGCTGGTGGGCGGCGCAGCAGGGGAGGGGGTCCTAGATGTAAGCGCACCGTCACGAATTGTTTGACTTGAGAGTGGGAGATTGATCTCGAGTCAACACAAAGCTTGATGATGAAGAGGTAGATGGGAAAAGGGACCAGGACAGACAGGCCCGATGAGTAGAGTAGAGAGGGTGGAGCGAGCAGAGAGTTGTGGAGAGTCCCGAAGTGGAGAGAGCCTCAGAACGAGAGGGACCTGGACAAGAACGCAGAGATCCGAATGGAACACTGATGAGAGGTGTGATGTGATCTTCTGATCAGGGGACTCAGACCAGGCGTGGGAGACTGGACTGGCTTGAGAGAGGGGGAGGCGAGGTAGGAGACTCTGTCCCTAGTTCATTTGCCAGCCAAACCTGGAGAACGATGCGTTAGCGAAAGCCCTAGAGCAAGGTACCGATACATTTGGCGAGGTGACGAGCCAGCCCAGAGCTTGCTTGCGGAAAGCTTGGGAATTTTGGTGGCTCGAGCACCGCGACGGGAGCTCTGCTGTACTTTGAGGAGCGCAAGCGCCACGCGTTAAAAGGAAGCGCCTTGACCTACCTGAACAAATGAAAAAGGCGAGTACCTGAGAAAGAAAAGAATTATTGGACCAGAGCACGCTGCTCGGTGAGTCGATTTGAGGAGCGCCTCAGACTCTATGTGTTGGAAGTAAGGTAAGGTAGGCTAAGCGATGTACCTAGCTGTGTTGTTGATGGAGGTCTCAGAAAGCAGCGGGGACCCGATGTTGATCTGGGGAGAGCTACTAGCTCGGGTCGGTAGCTGGGCGATTTAGTTTTTGTCGCCTCGGCAGCCCGGTAGGGTAGAGGAGTCGACGCTAGAAAACTTGACCCGTAGAGCATACGATGACCACGATGCTCTGCTCTGCAGGCTAGGCTAGAGACAAGAGACAAAGGGATGTAATTTGACGAGGGGATCGGAGTGTTGATATGCTTTTCCCTTGTGGCAGAAGAGGGGGGGCTTGATTAGAAAGATGGTGTCGGCCAAGTGATGTTGAATGGTGATACAGTAACGTGGTGGTGATGGTGCTATGGATGTGAAAGCTGGGGGTGATGGAGCCTAAGGCAATGCTAGAAAAAAGCGGGTACTTCCAATTCCAGAATGAATGCGGAGGCCAGTGAAAAGAGAGCCTGGAAAACTGCTAGGGCAGATAGGGGAGGGAGTCAAGAAAGTGTAGGACCTCCATCCCAGGTGACTAAAATACTTGGGTAGATTTAGTGTATCTTGTTGCACCTTTAGACCAATTAATTCTGGTATCTTGGTATAACGTCGGAAGTTTTTATTGCCTGACGACCGGCTAGGCCTTGTGCTTTGGCTTTTGGCTTAGGTTTGCGTAGGCTTGCGTTTAGGCTGGGGTAATGGGGGCGTTAGGGCACTGGCGGGTTGGCAGGAACATGCAAATCATCCAATCAATGTTTTTGGGTTACCTTGACTCTGCTGTCACGGTGGGCTAATCCTACCTACCTTCATCATCTACAGTATGGAGTATCGTGAGGATTCGCCTCCGTCATAAGGTTGAGAGGGGAAAATAGGTCGGGCCTAGACCTTGCAGTACTGTGCAGAATTTGTGGTAGCTGGCCACGGCGCGCCCTCCATCAAACCATAGGTTTCTATCATCTCCTCCACCAAGACCGGACAATAACTGGACCCTGAAAAAAAAATGAAATCAGATGTTATTCTGTCCGGCATATTATCTCGAAAGAAGCAAGTATAGAAGACCCCTGCTTCTTAGAGACAAGGTACGGAGTACCCAGGTAGACATCCATTGAGTAATTCGATAGGTCAGAATTGCTCCTGAATGTCCGTGAGCTTTAACCGTTGAAGGAGGCCAGCGTCAGACCATTGGATTAGGCCCAGGCCAACTCACGGCAATCGTCGATGAAGTCCTGCTTATTTTCCGCATGTAGGTGACTTTGAAGCCGGCAAGCTCGTGATGCAGAGTGTCAATGGGGGCTGGGAATTGCAGAGAAGAGAGACTTGGGCCTGTTGCATGCATCAACCGGATGCGCATAGGAAGCGCCTCTGACGTGATGTTACTGAATAGCCCGCACTCACACTCGAGCTGGAGTCTAAAGTGTAAGAACGGGACTCAGTTTGGTGGAAAGGTACTGGCTGAGAAGAATAGATGCTGGTCAGTTTAGCTCATATATCGTTCTTACAGATCTCAAGGTCCATCTCGAGGTCATCTCGATGAGATGATCGAAACTGCCGAGCACAGTCACTCATCACGATACCTGACTTCATATTCAACCTACAGACAGATTCAGGAAATCTCAAAGGATGGATGGCTGGTGGTGTGCATTGTCCCTGTACTTACAGGGCTTGGGTCCAAGTTAGACGCAGTTACAGTGAAAGCGGATTGGCCGCTCCACACTCGGAATCGATATGCTAACGCGGATGAAGCTTCATCGGCCCCACCGATGTATCCCCGACCAACCGAAGACTGATATATCAGAACATCCATGGATCACATCAGGTGAATCATAGCAGGATAGGGATGAACAAATAAAACAGGATCAAGGTTGCAGTGAGCTCTTTCATGATACGAGGGCTGCAATATTTGTAGTATACGGAAGGAGAATGCCTGCCTCAGTACCTAGATGACTCTATGTCATAACAGTCCGTCAACTACGTCCATGGCTAGGCACTTCATGTAATTGATGGAAACCCCGCTCAACAGGCCCAATGATGATGCCCTCGGCAGTGGAGGATTTCTTTGTTGAATTTCGCGTCATCGTGTGTCGTAGCTCAACCGACCCAACTCCCCTCGTGACCTTGCTTACTAGGACTAGGATAGACCCGTTGGCAACACGATCCAAGGGACTCGCGGATCAAGATCGACTCCGCTTAACTTAGCCTTTGACTCCGCTTTTTAGCTCTGTAGTAATTCAAGCTTTCTTACTTGCTGGTGCTCACGTCACTTTCCGAGCCTCAAGAACTGTTCTTACTTTGCTATGATGATCTCCAGGGCTTGTGAGACCTAAGAATTGAAGATACAGTCTGCGCACTGAGTAGCATGTCGAGCTAGAACTTTAGTGTGCTGGTGGTGTCTTTCTTCGCCGTTGAATATCTCCGAGGACAACCTAACCGGAATTGACCTCATGTTGACTCACGAGTGACTCTTGAGATGTTGTCTTTTACCAAGAAGTTGAGGCCAGTTTATGTACCCATATGCAAGAGATGAGATGCATAATTAACTCTTATTCGACACTGAGCAGATGTATCATGCAGCCCGTTTCCAACGAGTGTCGATCGAAACGAGCAACAATCTCAGTTCTCATTCGTCTTTATGTTCCGAATTTGTGACAGGCTCATTGTGTGTCTCATATGTTGATTACCAAATTCCCAGTCAAAATGCCTTAAGCACATCACTGTTAGTACATTACAGAAGTCCTCACGGAGTGAATGGTTAAAAGTGAGGTCACTGTGTCAGAAGATTGCTCAATCATAAAAGAGTTCAGGGCATCAGGCATAATGGAATGTCATTAAGGGATGTCTCACTCCACTCCCTTATCTAAGTCATTGTCGATGTTGCTATGACACTGAAGGCGGATATCGGTTCCATTCGTGTTTGATTCTTAACCACAACCCCCCCCCCCCCCCCCGCCGTTGTCGACCTCGTAGGAGTCTTTACAGAAGAAACAGTCCGCTCAAATAGGATAGTTCGAGTATCTGCTGAGTTGCTATCAGGGTTTTGTCAGTGGTGCAGTGTCTCCAACTTCTCCCACTTCGACTATCCCAGTATCTCAACCATGGCACAATGTACTTGGCCAGGATGGTTGTCAGTATAACCTGACTCTCAATGAGGTACGCGTTGCTCAGACGAGAAATGAAGTCTGTCTTGAAGCAGAGGATCAAATTAATCGGCAAAATTATAAGAATTCCTTTGACTTGCCCAGTCGTGGCCCTAGTCACCAAGTGACGATAGCTTCAAAACTATCCCGGCGAAAGGAATCGGCCCGTTTCTTCTTCACTGCACCGTACTGCCTTGATTCAACTCAATTCGGTCATTCGTACTTGGCCAACGACCCGATTGTGCACAGCAGTGAATAGTGCCCAAAGCGTCGGTGAGTGAGCGAACTTTGTAACATGGGGATGCCGTTTGCGGAAATAGTCGAGATCCACCTATACGAGCCCTGGAGTATTGATCCGGGACACAACGTAAGATTTTGTAGATGATAGCAGAAACTTGAGGGATATTTCACGGCTTCCAAATCAATGCATATTCGAAATGCTACTCTGGCTAAACAAATCATATGGTATTCGTTTCAGATCCTGTCTGATATGTGGCAATTGTAGTTGATGTTTCTCGTGATTCTTCCAAGCTAGTCCATCTAAATCATTTCTTCTTCATTTGTAAAATATTCTCCTTAGGACACTAGGCCAAGTTCTCCTGTATATCATCAAGCCCAGGATGACAGCTACGTGTCTAAGCATGAATATGATTTCGTAAGAAAGACTCGAGAAACGAATGTGGATTCTGATAGACTGAACGTGTTGGTTCTGATAGAACTTTGGGTATGATATCCGTGGTGTGTAGGAACAAGAGCCGGATTCTCTCCTGTAGCCTGTGTTGAGGTCGTTCAGATAAGGACTGTGTATGCTAGTATGCAATGGTGTATTCGTAACGTCGTTGAGTTCGAGTGAGCGTGTGAGTTGAGGGGATAAAGTCTTATTCTCCAACTGAGATGACTACATCGCCCTTGCATTTGCCGTATGAGCAGCATTCGGATGCATCCATGTCGCCTTTGAGGATAGCATCGACTTTAGACTAGAACCAATGGTTAACATATATAATGCCTTTACAGGAAATGGGCATTTACTTGAGGGCACGGCCCATTTGGTGAGATAGAAGAGGTTGGAACAGGTGATGCCATAACGAGGGTAGCAGAGGTAGCGAGAACGAGCGTGTACCACTTCATGATGAATATATAAGGAAAGGTCGGTAAACGAGGGATACTACTAGAGTCGAGTAAAACGAACGTGTTGGGTGAAAGAGTGACTGAAGAAACGAGTGACAATAGTTTGAATAGAGAGAGTGTGAGTGAGTGGAGGAGCAAGTGGAAGGAGGAGAGGAAGTTTGTCTGGTTTATATGGCCTGGAGGTCACTGCGCAAACTCAACGTTTGACCATAGATTCAAGGGAGATTCGTCGAAAGCAGGGAATCACTCACTGACAGTGGAGTCACTGCCAAGATCGCCTTGGATCGCGAAAGAGACTGCATGCGGCACTGGCATCCATTTCTCAGGAGAGTTTGCAAGGCAGCGTTGAGCTCTTTTTGACGCAAACGTTGAAAATGTTCATTCCAATCCATGGAGCCCAACTCGGATTTGGTGCGCACCTCATGCGCTAATGCAGGTACACTACAGGCGACTTACAAGGGCACAAGGGCCCACATGCGTCATATTCCGGGGGTCACAATCGCTAATGAAACCTCGTAATCCAACTTTTTTACATTGGGTTTATCTGCCGATATTGAACTGCTTGGTAAAGATCAGCCATGACAGTGGTAAAATTGCACCAATCAGTAGCCTTTCTCTCATATCATACAGAGAAACTGCTGAGATTTCAAAATCTACTGCCTAGATTTCAAGAATGGTCGAGACTTATTGCCAAGAGAGAGAGAGACATGAAGAAAAAGAAACAGGGCTGGACTTGAGAGCAGGAAAACCTGAGAGCCGTAGAGAGGGTATCAAAAGCAAACGGTCTAAAGCCTACCAGATTCATCGTCAATTCGCCCAAGTCTTTTTGTCATGTGCGATAGTGGTCTCAAGTTTTCTTACCTCCCTCAACCAGGGTAACAAGTGGAACAAGAAACCCTGATAATAAGACAAAACAAGGGAAGCATTAAGCGGCATTCTTAGCGTTGCTAGAGCATTGTCATCTCAGCCCTACGCTTTTCTAATTGCAGTACTTTGAGTTTCCCAACGGTTTCAGCAGAGTCACTGCGTTGATGATTCGATCATAATGTTCATCAACCTTTCGAGCTCGTTAGGATGATGGATAAGAACACCTTATCATCAATCATTCAGCCAATAGATTTGAACAAACCATCATCTGCCGGTTGCGACCGTTGAACAATCTCACCTCACGCAAGGGACTGCATGGCTATCGAGAAATGTCTTGGCATTTCTCAGCCGCTTCCGAAAGTCCGGGTTCAGACAATGTCTCATATTCACGGGCAAAGCTATCAGGTTGGGATAGCGCTCTGCTAAGAGATAACAAGAACTAAGCAAGATCTAATGACGTAGGGAACGCTAAATCGGAAAGGCAACACTAGTAATCGTGCTATCAAAGGACATTCCTGAGGGCGGCGATACTCTTGGAACGTCTGATGATGCGCATTCACAACTCTCAACTCTCACGATCGTCTTCTTAGTACTGAGCTGTGCTCCTTCGCCCTTAGAAGACTGGTATTAGCAATCTAAAGTAACCAAGTTCTCAGAATCCACAAAATGAACTACAACTTCTGAAGGTGCCAATATTTTGCCCAGCCCCTGTTAGCTATTTGGCCCTCACATCTGGGTATTTCCTTGGAAAAGTTGGAAAGACATGGCTCAACATCAAGAACCGGTTCTCGTGGATAATATCCATGCCTTAGGAGCAGGAAAAGCCTCTGGCTTTGAACCGAGACGCTTGAAATAGCTAAGTACCTGGTCTAAATGTCTACAAAATCTGTCCCCAGTTGAGCTAAGTATTTGCATATAGGATAAGGGTCCCAATTTGTCCTGGTGTAGCATCTTCCTCGAATACTCACTATTACCCCAATTTCACAGTTTTGTGTTGTTTAGCTGAAGACTTACCTAGGAGCTGCTCTGGAGTCTATGCGGATCCTCGGACAAGATAGCAGATCAAGAGGATTTTGCTGCTCAAGAGAGGCATTCATGCTAGGCACTCTAACAATCCATTTTCGTATCTTGCTATGGTTAAAACTATCAAACTTTTGACCCTTAATAACTTGAGTGTCTAATCGAACTCTGATCCCAAAACGCCAACCAATCCAACTACCACGACCAAACTTCAGCACCCACTCCCCCAAGCACAACATTGACCTTCTCACAATCACTCTCCCCTATGACAGCAATATCACCAGGGTCAGCAACACCACTATACGAGTCGGCCACCAGTTTCACATTGTTCACTTGAACTCTCCAGACCTTGACCCTCTGATCGTTGCTGACAGTAATGCCGAATGTCTCTCCCCCACGTTGCACGAGCACCAGACCGTTGATTGCTGCTGCATGGGCCTTGCGCACGATTCCACGGCTATAATTTGTGTATTGACGTTTGTCTGACTCGTCTGACATAGGCACAAGTGTTGTTATACCAAGACCGTTGTCATCGCCTCCTGTGAGAACTAAAAACCCTTCGGGTGTTGGCTTGAGATCCAGACATTTGATACTGCTTTGGTGCACGGGAGCCACCTGAACGAGAGCATGGCTAGCCACTTCCCCTCCAAAACTAACTTCCCAGGTTGTCAGGTGTCCATCCGTAGAAGCAGTAAGTGCCGAAAGACCGTTCTCGTCCACCCCGAGATGGCGAACCTGTGTGAGACAAGCTCCCGTGTACGACATGCGAGCCAGGAGGTGGAAACCTTCTCCTGGTGTGTAACGATATGTTTTCAATGTTGAGTTTGACAGAACCATCGTGATAGTGATGCTTCCATTGCCAACTTTGCATGCGTCGAAATCCATGATGCGAAGATCTGCGGCAGGACTTTTATCTTCTAGGACTGCTTCGCACAAGATTCCGAGGCCTTTGTACGGTGAGTCTAGCCTTCGGACAGACCATACGAAGAATTCTTCAAAACCGGCACTGCTAAGAAGGTAGTCATCTCCCACCCAGTGAACCTTTTGTAGCCCCGATATGTGAAGCTTTGTAGAGGCAACACATCGAAGTCCACCACTATTCTTCGTTCCACATTGTTCATCTTCATACTCCCAGATACGAACAGTTGTGTCCTCAGCGCCAGTTGCAATGTACCGACCACTAGCACTCAACCCCCGAATCTCTCTTCCGTGTGTTCCATATCTCAGAGGGCGGTGTATCGGGCTGTGTTGTGAGAAGATGTAAAGCTTTGTTGCTCTGGTATAACCGAATCGCACACGGTTATGGTTGATGGGATCATGAGCAAGGGTAAATGTCCGGTGCGCACCTCCACAATCAACCGAGGCAATTTCTTCCCGACGTGTTTCGTTCCATACGATAAAGTTCTTACTCTTAAAGCCGTACAAGACCAATTCGGGAGATTCATCTTGAGTAAACCAACCACCTTCTATATCGGCACCAGAAGGGGCAGCGACCTCATGCTGGAGATGCAATCGTACTTCATCGCCAAGATCTTCAATTTCGTATATTCTGTACTTTGTATCTCTGCTCGTCGCCAGGAAGTACAGGGGAGCTTCCTGTCCGTCTGTTGTCGGAAGAGGTACCAGACCAGTAATAGCATCGCGTGTGTTGAACCTGAAGTCCAGGATAGGGCGGAACTCGTTTCCTGTCTGTCTCAACAGTGCAAGAAAGCCATGGCGTGACCCTATGGCAATCAAATCCTTCCTAAAACGAGCAGCAGATATCGCAACGAATCTCTTGTCGATGCCGCGAATATCTGCCGTTGCCACGACAGCTCCTGTGCACCAATCGATTGAGAAATACTGAGAGTCTGAAGTTCCATGAATATGGACAATGAGTTCTGTAAGACTCCCCACGGAACTGGACAGGATCGAAATGTTGAAGATCTTGCCCGACACAGAGCCAAGAACCTTTACCCCTTGAGATTCAGAGAAGTAGTACAGCTTGCCACTTGTGGTACCAAGAATAGCAGCACCGTCACCTATGGTCTGGAGAGTATAGCACGTCTGAAATTCGACGTTGAGCTCATCTTCCAGTTCAATTTCCCTCCACTCCAAAGTCGGTCGGAACGTACCCAAGAGGAGTCGTCCCCAATTTGTTGTGACGATCATACGATCATCAGAAATGAAATCATAGCGGCTGAAGATCTCTTTTCCACGAACAGATTTCAATGTTCGTAGGTTAGGCAGCGTGGCAGCAATCTCATCGAAACCAAGCCCAAGCAATTCGTGGGTTGAAACTGACGCAGCAGGTGTCAATGAAGCAGGTTGTGTGATGAGAGAAATCTTGCTGTCAGCACCTCCTGTTGCAATGAGGGTTTGGTCTCCCTTGTTAACCACAGCGTGCGCCCATAGATGCTTGCCATCGTGCACGGCGTATGTATCGATGTGCTTCAGCGAACCAGAAACTTTCTCGGGCGAAATATCGAGGTTCAGCTGCCACCTCTGTGATGTCGAATCTTCCCCAAACGAGTACAATGATAATGGGCTTTCTGGGAGTGTTTCGCCTTCCGTGAGTTGGGCGAACTTGATACCCCAGATTCTTGACAAATGTCCCATGATGGTAGCTACAGGTCGTAGTTCTTCCGCCCTAGGCCCGTCGTCCAAACCTGCCTTTGAACCGAACCCAGTCTCTCGTGGTGCAGCAAAGTCATGCTTGTCGTGGGACCCATCTTGTCCGGTGATGTTCCAGATTCTCACAGTTCGATCATCACTGCAGCTTGCAATGAGCCTCAATCTGGTTCCATTTTGACAGGGGAGTTCTTCTGAGATATCAACACCAAAAATGGACCCTTCGTGCCCGTTCAAAATGGCCAGAAGTTCCGAGCGACTCTCTGAAACATAGCATCGCCATACAAGAATCTCGCCAAAAATTGTTCCTCCAGCCATAAGAACAGTGTCCTGGTCTAGCCACTTGAGTCTCGCAGCGTAGAGAATTGGTCGTGAAGGCGAAACAATAGATCCGACGACCGGTGCATCGTCTCCATTCAGGTGTAAGTGTACGACTTCGTTATGAGCCGTTGCGAGCACCGCAGAAGTGTCGTCGTATGGTGACGGTGCAATATCGTAGATCCAATCTGGAGCGGCTGCCTTCTTCACAATCACTTGAGTATCCGTCGTGTTTCCAATCAATCCCTCAATATTCGACACCACTGCAATCTGTGCAGCACCCCAGGCCAACACTCGCCCACTGCCCAACAGACGTATTCCATGAATAGGTTGTGCAGAGAAGACACGCACGCTGCCTACACGCAACGCATGGCCGGTTTGAAGATCGTAGAGAGTTAAGTGAGCATCCTCGCCAGCGAGAAGATACTCCGCATCGTGGAAGAAGGCGAGTGAAGTGATGGGGCCCTGAAAGAATTCCCGAGTGAGGCTTGACTGGCATGTGTGAGCTCATGATAGCGGGGGAGGGGCATTTATGATCATAACTCACATCTGCCATTATTGACAGCGGGAAATAAAAAGTTGATTGAGCTTTAAATACGTGATCATTTACTTATTCATGACCAGGGTAATATTTATCTGCCATGGGAGCTCTTGCGTTGAGTCTGGATGTAGAGTTAAATTTGTGTTAGTATGAATGAGGTTTTGTGTGGATTCTCAGTCAGCCATGAGAAAATTTTTGGACTGGCTCTATACACATACTACCCAGGCCCATCCTGATGAAGTATCTTCAAACTTTTCAGTTAAACGTCACAACGAATCGGATAAAATAGCAAATAAATTGTATATATTTTTATGCTTTCAGGGCGAACCCTTAGGATAGCTATGTATGTTCATTCGTTGCCCAATAACCTCAAAAAGAAAACGTTTGGGTATCATGCCATCCGGCATCTTCCCGTTGCCAATATCCACCAACTTCCTTTGCAAAGCGATAACATAACCAAAACTCTTTCGTGGCGGCGTGAGTGCTATAGCAAACATTACCCTGTCATTCGATCCCGAATATCAAAGTCAAACCAAACGCCATTAATGCAATCATCATCAGATGTCAAAGTCAAATAGACTTGAGGAATCATATCATTGAGTTACTCGCGGCGGTTTAAGCACGATGAGAGTAGGGCTCATAGGCGAGATCAGAACGGGCAGTACCGCTGGGGTAGCGAGGAGCACCGTACTGAGACTGGGACTGGTTGTGGTTGTAGTAGCCGGTCTGCATCTCGTGGTCGTCACCGAGAGGAGCGTAAGAGCCGTGCTTGTTGGTGGCACCACCGAGGAGCTTCTCGCCATCGGATCGGCGGTTCTTCTTATCGCGACTTCGGCTCTCAGGTTTGCAGCAGCAGATGGTGAACATCCAGAAGAGACCGGCTGCGATGGCGAAGGCGGCTGCGATAGAGACACAGGCGAAGAATCGGCCGTTGATATCACCCTTGACGCCGTAGAACTTGGCTGTGCCCTCGACAGCACCAACAACTGTACCAGCAAAGACACCAGAGAGTACGACAGCGGCGATAACGAGAGTGGAGGCAATACCAGCGACGATCCATGTCAAGCATGAGAAGATGCGAGAGCAGTTAGAGAAGATACCGAGAATAATCTCAGCAGCGAGAGCGATGAAAGCAGCGATGTAGACGACCTGGGTCCACTTGGTGACAGTCTTGAAGGCCTTGAGAGCATCCTGAATCTCATCAGGAAGTTCAATCTGGACATTCTTGTCGGCACCAATGAGATAAGACGTGTTCAACTTCTTGTTGGCCCAGTCAAACTCGGGCTTCTCGCACTTTCGCTTGCCGTCTGAGTCGGTCTTACAGAAACCCCAGAGGTTGATGTCGTAGTACTTGTCGAGACCGAGCAGCTCAGCGGTAATGTTGTCCTTGATCTTGTCGGCACGCTCCTCGATCACAGGCACATCGCGAGTATCCAACTTTAAGTTCTTGAGGTCGAGGTTGTCGATAATGTTGCCGACATCGGCAGGGCTGATGCTGAGGTTCTTGACATCGATTCGGAAGATGTAGAGAGACTTATCGGCGACACCAGCGAGAGCACCGACTAGTAGGAAGATGATGGAGCCGACTGTGAGCACGAACGGCAATAGCACGCAGAAGAATCGACCGACGCCCATTGTTGCTGTCTGTGTGTGGTGTGGATTTTGGAGGTTGTTTTTAGGTATGCGGCGGATTCGGAGATCGAATCGGAATATGACGTAGAGTTAGCAGAACGAGTGCTGAGCTGTTATAAGCGAATGACTCTATTCGAGTGAGCAAAACGAAACGCGGCGGACAGGAAATGACGCGAACGTAAATAAGGGAAAGATGAGATGAGGCGAGATAGTAGAGAGGAGAAGAATATCACCAGAGGGAAGAAGAGGATGGTTTTATAAAAGCTGAACACAGCCCAGGACCAGGACCACTTGTAGGTATGGATAGGTAAGTTCCAGGTTGGGCTGGGCGTGAGCACTAACCGTTGTGCTGCAGCACAGTTACGCACTAGCAAACAGATGAGGGGGTTGGATGTTGGTTGACGTGGAGTGGCGCAGCGAGCCCCTGCACCCCGGACAGGCAAGATCCCGCGCTCAGCTCACACTGTGATTTTGGCAGTGTTGTAAGTGGTGTCGTACAGTGCGTAACCTTCACGTTCTGCCTCGTCCGCCTGGAGGCGTTGCGCTTACGACTCCCCCCAGTTACCCAAGGCCAAAAGCCCAAGCCTGGTTGTTACAGCTTGAGGTCAGGTTCCCGCTAAAAAGGTCACAGTGGAGAGATATGGCGCTCAGCCACTCATCCACGCTTTCACTCTTTTTGATGAAGCTGAGCTCGTTCGCTTTTCGCTTGTCTAACCTTGAATGGGCGCAGCTCACGTTAATTTGCTCTCTCAGGCTGTGCTAGTTGGAGCAGCTGAAAAGCTAACGTGAACTTGGCTTGTGGCTACCGCGAGGTTTTCTGCACTCTCTAGACTCTTCAGGTACTGTTGCAGGAGGAACTGCTGTAAGCTTTGGATCTCCCCACGATCAACATGACGATCATGTCATTGGCCCGGCAGCCTACTGTGTACATATCTGATCTTGGTGGCTGGAAGAAGCTTGAGTGGTGATAATTGACACAATGAAAGTTTCTATTGCGGAATTAACGATCATGATGACATTGCTCCGCAACTGATACACCACGGATCACTTCCTCCTCCTCCAACATTTTTACGATCATCGAACCAAAATATGGATCCATACCCCTACAGAGCAGGGTTGCAAAATCGTTAGTAATTAGTAATAGTAATTAGTAATTAGTAATTACTAAAGGTTTTTTTCTATTAGTAATTAGTATTAGTAATTAGTAATAGAAAAAAAAA